GGGGCCACGCCCTCGCAAAGAACCGTCGACGCGGCGGCCCTGCCGCCCCCCCCCCCTTCCCCTCTTGCCACGCGTGACACGAGACGTGAAGAGCTCGTGCGGCGCGTCGGCGGCTAACCCACCCACCCAGCATCCTCAGCGACTCGACGCCACCGTACGTCGACGTAGACCCGCGCCGACGGAAAAACGCCAGTCTACCACCGACCCTACATACGTTCACATCACTCGGGTGATTGATCAACGAATTAACAATACGGGGACTGTGAACATTTTTTTTTTTTTTCGTGTGACAATTGAAAAAAAACTCGTTGGGGTTCTGTTTATTACCAGTGCGTGAGTGGATATACTGTGGAGTACAAACATTTTTTTTTCCATCTGTGGGGACCGGTTGTTTGTTTCTTCAGCGTGGGAAGTATACATTGTGCCTCAACTTCTGGTTTTTGGAATTTTTGTGGTTCCAGTTAGTGAATTCGTGACACCGGATACGCGGGGGAAGTCTTGCACCGGACGCGACACAGGGTCAGACATTTTTCTTATTAATTTTTTAACAACATTTATTTGGAACTGGAGTGAACAATGGAGATTTTGGGTCAATTGTTCGACGAAAGTCGGGCAGTTTTGGTTGTGTAGATTCATATTGAATTGAAAATGTCAATAATTTAGGGAATTTAATAGTATTCTTCAACTCAATGTCACTTTTGTCAAAGTCTTCATCAAATTGTCCAGGACATTCCATTATTTTTCCGACAATACGCCCCCACCGTCTGTCCCTGTAATAAACAACCCCTTCATGAAACCCTTCATGACAGGGAATTCATCATTACGTCAGGACTCGAGATCTCCTCGTGTTTTTGGTCGCGACACGTGTCACCGAAACTTCATATCACACGTAACAAATCTCGTTTTCATCGAAAAAACTCGAATGTCATCTCTTTGTTTTCACAATTTCTTGTTTACCAGGTTTACTTCCACATTTCGTGACACATTGGATTAATGTAGTTCTCTCGTTTGCTATTCCGAGGGCGTCTTCCGCGTACAACTAGTGGAGTTGGAGTGAAACAGAGTTTCTGAATTATTTCCAAGTCATGTATTAAAGCGAGCGAGGGAGAGGGGGTGGGTTATAATGCAATTGTTATTATTATTCAACGTTCGGATTCTCGGGGTGCAGAGTGCAGCGACCTATAGACCTGGGTATAGACGAGCCACGGGGTGAAACGAGAGAGATAACGAGTGAGGTCACATTTTCAGGGGTTCAACGTTAGTAGGTATTGGGGATGATGGCGAGGATTATGGGGAGTAGCAGTGGTGATTTAATTGTTGAGTGGAGATTTTTCAGGGGCTCATGAATATTATCAAACATGAACACATTTTTTGCGAATTGACGATACGAACTTTCGCGATTTAAAAAGGCAATATTTTTTTTTCGAGAATTAAAAACGCAGAGAATGAGCTTTTATTTTCAGGGGTATCATTGCACTGTTGAACATTTTTAACTGAAATTTCCGGTACATTTTTCGAATATCTAGATCACGTTTTAGTTTCACTGCAATTTCGAGGAATTTCGAAACTGAAAATTCATAATTTCAGGGAATAAGCGATGAGAACTGTAAATTTAAGTTCGATTGAATTTGGAATTTCACTGAATTTTTAGTGAAATATAAAATTTTTTTTTTCACTCGTTAAATTTTATAATGATGAAATCAATTAGATTTCTATGTTTAGGTCGATAAAAAAATAAGAACTTTTTTCGCTGTGTTGCATTAAGAATCAAATATTCTTGATTTCATTGTCCTGATTCAATTCTACTAAACCGTAATTGTTAAAATTTTCAAGTTGTTATTAAATATTTGTAATAAATTCTCTAACAAATAAGAAATCAGAAGTCCTCCAGCAATGATGTACTACTGCAATAAAATTCCCTTATCAAACGCCAAAGAATGGGCATTTTCTTAGGAAACCTACAAATTTTATTATTCAAAGATATTCAATTAAGTTCATGAAACCGGCGCACGGAGTGATGAAATCCTCTATTAAACCCGAGAAATTTTGAATTGTCTAAATTAAATATTCGGCAGAAAATATACGTCACTTCATTGCTAACAATTTTCGTAAAAACCTGAAAATTCAAAATTGAATTCCAAGAATTCAATCTTTCCATCTTTCCTCCCAAAGCATTCCATAGATTTTATTACTATTTCTCCAAGATCCTTGCCTTCAACAGCAATTTTCATCGCACGGATTTTTCTCATGCAATTTAATTTACAAAATTCATGATTGAAAGTGATTGAATACTTGGGCACTTGGATATTCTTAAACCCCGAAAATTTCATATGAATATTCAGTATACTCTGAAAATATCAATCAATCTGTTGCTAATAATTTTTGTAAAAACCTAAAAAATTCAAAATAAAATTTCAAGAATTCAATCTTTACATCTCCCAAAGCATTCAATCGATTTTCCTACTATTTCGCCTGCAACGTTCATCGCCTAAAATGTATTCAAATCGAATATTCAATAATTGGAACCGCCAAGTATTTTCAAACCTCCCGAGTGCACTCGTGGGTCCGCACTCGTGCAGTAGATAAGTCCACGCGAGGTCAGACGATTTCCAGTGGTCTGTTCAAGATATTGGAAGCGCCCCTGGGCAATCGTGATTAACCCGGATACCACAACTCTAGGGTTTCTCCTCTCATTCATACCATTTTCCTCAAGTCCCATTGTATTATTCAGTGTTATTCCGTGTTTCGTCTTTTAATCTATGTTTCGAGTCCTGGGACTTTTGAGGAGTGAGCGAATGCCGAGAAGAATAATACCAAAGCGGGATAGTGGTTGGAGCTCCTGAGGGAATTTTCACACAGAGAGCAATGCCCGACGGTGATGAATTGTTCTTCCGGTCTTGCGTGTTCTTTTGGATGTTTTGTGCGAAATTGGGAATGGGAAGTAGTCGGCAAAATGAGAATTTCTATTTTTTGCAGCACCCAGAGAAATGGCGCATTTTGATCAATTGAAACTCTTTAGTTGATCCAAATAATTAATTATTAAATATTGATAAAATATTTTTTTACTGTTTAAATAATTATTCAATTAGTAACTTATGAAATATTTATCCAGATCGAGACAAAATTTTAAAAAATCACAAACAAACTATCCATTTTATTCCAATAAATCATTTTTTTAAATGTGAATAAAAAATAAAATTTGGAGGAAATCACGAGTGAAGTTGAAGTAATAAATGTTGAATTCTCTTAACAATGAGTGATATTAGGAGTCAATATCGAACCTAAATTGCATTGAACATCCAAAATTTGAAGTGTTAAAAAATGCCACAAATTTAATCAGAAATTTAATTCTCCACAAATAAATGAATCATGTGCTTTATCACACCAGAAAAAATAATTATCAACATAATTGACATTTAAAGATGGTCCACTTCACTCCAATTACCTCTGATACCCCACGGACTCCTTCGCATTTCCAAAGAACCCCCAGAGCAAAAAAAATCGTAAGATTCTTCCAGCTCTCTGCGTCTTATTAATCCCCTCCGCCCCTCGATTCCATTTTTCTGTTTATTCTGTCAAGAAATATCCCCAAGAATTCCTCTGACGTCAATCTCGGAATATTGCCAGCGGAAAGTTCGAAAAATCAGTGGAACTTTTGATGAAAAAAATAAAAGGAGAAAGCCAAGTTTTTGCAGACACTTCCAGGGGATTTCAGTTATTCGATTTTCCTCTTTCCTGTCCTCTCGCTCATTCCTAGCGAACTATCTCAGACGAATGTGGAGTCGAAGTGAACCTGACTGAATATACCAATCGAGGGAATAATAGTCGAGTGTCACGCGCATTTATCGCAAGAGTCGATTAGTCGTTTGTATTCCGCACAAACAGAACGGAAGAGGTATCACGACAATTTTATTTCGACCAGAGACACTTAATTCGAGGATTGTTGTTGTTATTGGAGATGATATCCGGGATGAATTTAGATGCAGATTTAGATCTTCTTTTTTTTCGGTCTCCCACAAATTACGCAGACCGGATTTTCGTGCGGTCGATAATGGCGTTGATGCTATTAATACGTATAACCAGGCAAAAGTGGACAGAACGAGGGGGGATGGAGGTATTGAAGTTGAACTGGTCATCTGAGAGGTTTTTGTTACGCTCTTTTTCTCAATTAATTCTTATCGCAATAAAAAAAATTCTGGGCCAGGTTTCGGGCAGTTGCAGTCGTGCCAAGCAAATTAATTCTAATTATTCAAGTAAAAACTGTGAATTTATCTGTTAATTGTGTACTGACCTTTATTTTAGATGAGAGAATTATCGAAGGAACATGTTTGTAAGAAATCATTGTTAAATCAATTAAATTGTAATTAATTAATTAAAAACTGGACATTTATGTCTGAACTGTGTATTAACCTTTGTTTTATGTGTGGAAATTCTCAAAGGAGAATATTTGTAAAGGAGATTTTTTGATTGAAAAAAATAGTTGAATGGGGAAATCAATTTAGTTTTTTTTCACCTTGTAATCGTCTCATCGTCTCTTTACTGAGTGATTTTAGGGAAAACTGTCACGACATTAATTATCTAGGTAAGAAAATACCCAACAAGAGGTTTCTCCTCATATTTTCAACGGAAAATCCCTCATTATCAAGAGTATTTGCACCTTAAAATTAACCAGTCGAGGTTTACGAGACCACTAAAATTATCTTCAATCACGTTCATGAGAGCTCTCTACCCTTGTTCGGGTGATCCTTATCCATCATCTCTGTTAACTGCCACCCTCCCCGATTCCCAAAAAAATCCAATGGAGATGGAAATCTCGATGGAATATAAATAGAACTGAAAATATAAAATTGTCGAATGGAAAAACGTCAATTTAAAAAAAAGCTGCGAATTTCAAAAATAATAGGCGCCAACGCCCTATAAAAATAACTCAAATGTATAATACTCATAGGACGGAAATGCCATTTAAATATAAATGAGACAAAAAAAAACAAAATTGTCAATTGAAAAAAAAAGTGAACCCAAATTTTTCTATGAAAGATTAATGCACCCAAGAATAAAAAATCAATTAGAATACAAAAATAGAAATTGTAACATAACTAGCACCAATTTTCACGAAAAAAATTTCATGCGAGGTTTTTAATATCCTTGTAGCTCCATTTGAACAAATCTCAGCCTCTTCTATATCCCAACGAAATTCCGATGGAGATGGAATTCGGAATAAAATATAAATGGAACGAAACAGAATAAAAATGCCCAGCAGAAAGAGTGGGAATGCGCATAATTCCACGTGGGAACATTTGTGGTCCAATAAACCTGATATTTTCCATAAAATGTAAAAACACCCACGAATGGAAAAACGTCAATTAAAAAAACAGCGAATTTCAAATATAATGAATACCGATGCTGCATAAAAATAACTTCATCTCAATTAAATATAAAAATAGTTACATGCAGGTCTTTAAACATCCTCCTAGCTCCCATTTGACCACATTCATCCTCTTCTATCTCCCAACAAAATT